ATAGTTGCGATAAGATGCAATATGAATCTATGTACATTAACTAAAAACTAAACAAAAATAAAAATATCAATAAAAACACTGTCAATAATAGTCTTAGTAATCGTCGTCACTTTTAGAATCGTCGGATTCGCTTTCACTGTCACTTTCCCTTTGGTCGACAGAAGGACATTTTAAAAATTCTAATGCCTGCTTAGGTAAGTGCTGAATTTTCTTCTTCGGCAATGTTCTTTTGCTACTTAGCAGAAAATCAGAACTGAGTAAAAAAAAATTGAAAACATCTTCATTGCACTTTTCTCTGCTGCATTTTCTAGAATTATGCTCCCGGTACCTTTTAAAGTCTTTGTTACATGCTTCTTGTGCTTCCTCCGTTAATTGTCCTATGGGCAACAAGGCAGATGAAATTATTTCGGGCCCATGAATAAAATATTTATGGAGTGTAGGCGGCATGCAGTACCATGGATATTTTTCAACAAAATAACGCGCAGTGCTATGGCAAAACATTCTGAAAGTTTCTATTTTAATTTCGTGTCCTGAAGCCACTACTATTAATATTGTATGTACCTTTTCAATTAATGCAACATCAATTTTTGTTATTTTGGCAGATATTTCTGCATTCTCAAAAAAAACGTCTAGCCGTATTGCCATCGTTTGAGTTTCCAAATCCTGGCTTGGGTTTGTCCAATATTAGATTGCACAAATCTTTACATTCTTTTTGAATTCGTGCCTTGTTTTCAGCTACAACGTTTTTATCGTCACCTCTTGCCTGCCATTTTTTAATTGGCAATTTATATGCAACATACAACAGACATTCAAAAAATCGAATCCACCCATGTAATATTGACAAGCCGAATTGCAAATTCTCTGTAGTTATTTGCCTGTTAATCATTTCGTCTATGTTGTTGAAGCTTTTTGACGTGGCTCCACAAATGTAGCACTTTTGAGTAGATGTAGTGCTGGACAAAGCGTTGCAGACCTTGCCATCAATCATGGAAAATATTAAATTATGTTTCACCGTTACTTCTCTCTGCTGAATTGTTGTTGTCGTGTTCTGTAAATGGCTTATTTGTTCATCCACTCTGGTCTTCTCGGCAATTGATACAGCAGTGGATTCCTTTATGAATTGCATCTTCAGGGGTCTGCAGTACCTTGTAAAGCCAGGTCGTGGGTTCTGCCAAATAATTTTTGTTCCGCAAACTAGGCGAATAGGCACCAATGAAGAAATGAAGACAGCTGCATCACAAGCTTCGATCCCATGGAAAGCCTGTTTGTAGCTGCTATGACCGGAACTCCCATCAAACCCCCATTTTGTATATAAAAAAAGATTGTCCAGTTCTTCGTCTTTCAGTGACTCTACTACACATTGCTGAACCATAAGTAGTCGTTTCACAGTATGATTAAGTAAAGCTTTCAAATTGACTTCTGCCGAAGTAGAAGTAACAATAATATTTTCTGGATAACAATTTTTCTTTGCTGTTTGGACCTTCTTATACGACGGAAACTTTTCTGGAGCGGTTTGCCTAATTAGGTCATATTGATGACGGGATAATTTGGCATCAACCAACAATGCTAATGCGTCTTCCCCTGACAGCATTTTTGGTTTGTATTCCAGGGACTTTTTATATGCGTCTCTTGATTTCGTAGCACGTTTTGGGCTTGAGGAAATTTCTTGCACAACTTTAGCTGCCTCGTTTTTTCCTGATGCTCTCAAGCTCATCTGGGTGGCATAGGCTAGCACAGAAAGAGGTGTACTTTTTCGCAAATCGCTGGTTTTCTGTCTTTTAGTCCGCTCGGAGCTTAATTCGAATGCAGTTTCTGGGCGGCCACGTCTTGTTTCCAGTCGTGGAAATAAAATTGACGTATCTAGCCATTTAATATTATTTTTCACAAATCTTTCTTCTATTCTGCAAGCCTTTATCCAACGAGACTTAAATTGAGATTTAAAATTGGCGATAATTTGCTTAACATTTGGCATGTACTGTAATTGTTGGTCAAGTGACCTCTCCAAATCAAACCCTTGTATATAAAAAGAGAGCAAGTATGAGCAGCTAACAAAACCATTTCTACACTCCCCAATAGTTCTTCAGTTCGATAAAAATTAAAATATTGCTTTATCGACTTTAATACCTAAACCATTTTTACTGCAAACATTAAATTTACTCATAAAAATAATGCTTACTTTTGCTTACAGTATTATATAATAAAAAACTATTTTAAGCAACATATTTTCATAGAATTTGTTAAAACATACCTGAAGTTGAAGGCTCCATAACTGAAAAATGCAAGTTTAATATTATCGGGGATTAAAACTGGTTATGCACAGTATCACTCGTCCGGACTCAACGCGCAGGTAGTTACGACTGAGGCACAGGGTTGCCAACTTTTCAAATTCCATTTACCGTACCGCGCAATTCAAATTACCGTACATGGCCTCCCAATACCGTACACTTTTATTTTGTAGAAAAACTATTTATAAATATCTTTTTGTCGAGCTTCTCATCATCATATTTTAATGAACCTTTTGTCCTTTTACTTAGCTTCGAAAATGTATGACATTTTTCTACTCATAGGAAAGTGTCACAAATTCCTATAGAAAAAGGTTCCTACAAGTCGAGAATCGGCCCCCAGAAAAGTGTACCGCAAGAGTGGTACAAGAAGAAATGAAAAAACTAGGGAGAAATCTAAATACCAATTGTATCGCCTCCAATGTTTACCGTATTTATTTTTCGCGGGCCATTTGCTGGTCGTTTTGTATATTGTATGTAGGGTTTATTTAAATAAGTATGGATAGATTTAAAAAAATGAGAATTATTTCAAAAGAATACAAAAACAACTCGAGAAAGTACGAATTGTATTTATTAGATTTGAAAGACAGAAACCAAATTCGATACTATCAATCCTGCTTCCTGATTATCTCTTTTGTTGGTGTCATCGGCTTCAACAACTCAGGCTATTAACCTGGTTTTCTGTGTAGGTTTTGTTACTGTTTCGCAGTGCTACTTTAGGAACAGCACTGTTAATTAGAATCCAATAGTAAATGATCGAATGGGCAATCCTAACTATGAATCAGAATTAATTTTAAAATAAATGAATTAGAAAAAATTTCCTTACAAATTGTGCTTGCTGTATTAGGTCGATGGCAATTTAGTTATAAAATTTGTAAAAACCGTGTTTTTATTGTTTAGAACACATCCTGGCACACGATGAAAAATGAAAGGGAATATAAAAATCACTATGACACTTCATAATATTAACGACAGCTCTGTGGCTATCGTTGATGAACGACAATTTTGCAACTATATTTGTCCATTTTCAACGATAATCGTTGTCTACTGAATAAGAAAAGTCGTCTGTGAACGATTATCGTTTATTAACGACGTCGTTCAGAGTTACTCAATAGGCCTCTAAAATGGCATTTTTACATTTTGGCAATTTTATTTTAATCTACATTTAGTGGAATCGGCCCTTACACAATTCAAAGTCTGTTAATTCTGTTCAAAATACTACGTTTACCGTACTTTTTATGTAAATACCGTACTTTTATGTACGGTAATTACTTTGGACCGTATACCGTACATTAATCGAAATTACCGTACAAGTACGGTAATTACCGTACGATTGGCAACCCTGCTGAGGCACTTAAGGATGAAATAGAACTTATAAAGGGGATGCAGGTGCGTGTTTATTATGCCCTGTATTATGTGGATTTCGAAAACCATGTTGTCCTACGTGCAGGTAGATTTTGTTTTTTTCAATTTTCGCCAAGTTTACTGTTCTGTTGCCCCACTGTGAGGCGTATGTATGTAAAAACGATACGTACAAAAATGCCCTGCATAATGGTCTAAAAATAGGTGCTGCTAAAATATCAAGTCTGCTGAAAGCAATTAAAATAGCTTAATGTACTTTGTATAAATTTTATACGTTTCTTGTTTTGTTAAAAGTCATTTTATTTAGAGACTTACTATTAGAAATGTTTGGGAAAATATTGCGACAACCCTGCCCAGAATGCGTCCGAGTGGGAAACACTGCACTAGGTGCGAAAATTAATTGGTGGGGACGCTTTATGTGTCGCAATATATCTCGGAACTATTCTAATTAATAAAACTTGTCGCTATTAGTAAGTTATAGGTAAAAACTATTTTTAAATATGAAGCCTAGCAACAGCGCACCAGGCAACGCATGTCGGTTCTGTTACGAAATCCTACGCGTTACGTTTCTTTACAATATTTGACCGGGTTTAAAGGTAAATAAATGTATCTGTTGTTTCTATAATCTAAGATTCTTACCTAAATCCTGCACCAGTAAAAGGGTCTGAGAGCTCGGATATACAATCCCGTTTAGTACTAGATAGAGTTTTAATCGAGTTTGTCTATATCAAAGATCAAGGAAGTTTTTCGGCTCCAGCTCTTAGCAAAATAAACAATTTATTCCTAGCGGACAATCTTGCAAATTTTAATTCAAATACAGCTACGTGTCAGCATGTCAGAATATTAAATAATAGTGCATCTACACGTAATACAAATAACGATTTTAGTTTTAGTTTTTTTTTGTTCTTTATATAAAAAAACGTCTAACTGGTTATTAATATTATTATTTTAAGTTAGTACCGTACGATGACACATGACAGTTGACAATTACTGTTCTTTGTTCTATGCGAGTCACCGTGTGAATATTGGTTAATAAAACCCAAAATCTCAACTAAATCTTGATTTATTTAACTAATCCTGAGTAAATATTTTATCTGTCTTAAAAATCAACTCCCGGCCAAGTTTATTATACGAGTATAGAATAAAAATGTTTTCTGCCTCTTACATCAACTCAACATTGTTTGGCTCATCCTACACAATGCATATACGTCATCAGTAATGCATCCTATTGTATAAAATGTACATATTTATAAACTAGATAATTGTTGTAATATTGCCTATAAATATTTCTGTTAATATTACTTATAACGACATTTTCTAGGGTATCTCATTAATGCATTTTATCTAAGAATTTTAATGGACACCGTTACTTACATTGTGTTTATAAAAAGAGTATTTAAGCAACTGAATAGAGAACTAGATCAAAAACTTCTTGAAACAGTGCCACAAACCAGAAATATATTTTCCACCTCATTATGCACATCATCGTTGGTAAATAAACTAAAATCTCTTAGAAGGCTATATATGGCTATTTTCGACAGCTTTCAAAGGACGAAAAGTTTTACCAGCAGCGCTGTCGGAACTACTGTCATGGGCAACTTTTTGATAGCCATTTGGATTTTGGGAATAACATGTTTAGCGATTATAGGAAGTCGGACTATTGATGTCATGGATTACGTAATTTTTTTTAGATTGTTTTTGAGAGTTGCATTTATTTGTGTTTACGCTCTCGTTTGCGACCGCATTCAAAAATTAGTAAGTATATTAGCATTTTCAATAATTATATGCTTATAAAAGTTATGGGTACAAATTATGATTTCTATTCAACAAAATTATTAGCTGACCAATTTTGTACTTTTCTAAATCCATTTTGTATATCAATATCAAGTTAATTTTGAAGATTGTAAGATCAAAATAAACGTTATATTATTCAAATGCCAAATCAAAGGGATTGTTCGAGGGATGAACCACTCCTGAAATAATGGTAACATTTCCAAAATCATATCATTACCGAAAATCATGTCCGAAATCATCACCGAAATTATCACCGAAATCATCAGCAAAATCTAAATCAATTTGCTTGGAACTATAAACGTAACAGGTGGTGGATCAAAAAACAAGTGAAGAGCCCAATAATCAAAAATTCATTTTAATATTCTAGAAGAATGTTGTTATTTTGGGTAAGGGGTATTAATACACTGTGACCTAAAAGATCTAGTTTATCCCCTAATGCATCGAGGAAATAATCTCAATGCCTATAACTACTTTTCCAATCCTATATTCTCAAGGAAATGTAGGATTTGGAGAGGCTTCAAGTTAGGTAGATCAGTCTCTTCTATTTGATATGATTCCAGGTATAGTGCCCTTTGGATTCTGGAGTGCTACACATTCAGTCAAAATGTGAATGGAGGTTTCGTCCTCCTCACAGATTCTTCACTCACTATATTTTACTACTCTCAGTTTAGTTAGGTCTATTTTGAGTCAGCAATGCCCGGTAAGGATCCCTGTTACAATTTGTAGCGTGTTTTTGTTCAGGCAGATATAGCCTATCTTAGCCCCACGAGATTATTAAAATTATCGGTTCTTCTACTGCCCAAATCTTTTTTAATCTCTTCTAATATTGGGTAAATGCTGATACCGCAGAACGACTTAGGTCCCACAAAGTGTGTTTGAGTCCGTTTCCTTAAGAGACTATCTGCAATCTGGTTACCAAGGCTGGAGCGAAAATATTTAGAAATATACTAGAATTCGAGAAAAATGTACTAAATTGTACTAAGTAATAGCGTTTACCATTGGCATGCACCGAGTTCATCTATGCACTGAACCGGTGTGATCCCGGTTCATTAAAAAATTGCACAAAGTACAACGTCAATGGAACAACCACATGCACCTACTAGAAATGTCATGTGTCAATATTGTCAGTCATAAATTTATCTTTAACCTTCAACGGTCATTTCAAATCTCTCCGCAGATCCCGCAATGAGTTTTTGTTTCCTGCAAACCTTGAACTAACTGTAATTTTGTTTAACAAAAGAAATTAAACAATAAATTCTGATACCACAAAAATGTACTTATTTGCCTTCTACCTCCATGGTTATGGTTTTTCAGAAAATAGTTCTACTCCTCAAATCTTCCAATAAGGGTACTTGCCGTTTCTTTCGACAAGCGAAAATTTGCTTTGAACTAAAACAAAATAACGTTATAAAACATTATCTCTGGTTATATACTTTTGCTCATGTCAATAAATTTTGGTATCTAGCGATAGCTATCCCCTAACCTGCTGGTCGTTCATTTTTCTCATAACATCATTTATATAATTAATAATTTTTGGAATTGATGTTCTATTATAAACTAGTGCTTCAAACAACTTCAAAATCGCTGTCGTCCGAAGATGAAGATGATAATAAAGCGCAAATCGCCAATTTGCCATATCTACCAATCGCCACCATTTTCTGCACTGCACTCAAAACCATCTTTCGAGCTGGTGCCAAAATAGTTGCCCCGAGTGCAAAAATGAATACACCAGTTTACCAGTGGTACATACAACACCAAACCAGTGCGACCAATGGTACACAACGTCTTGCATTCGGTTTGCACTGGTGCTGCCAATGGTAAACGCTATAAATTATAGGTGGACTGTCAATTGTCAAAACTGTCACGTATGTTCTCAGTTGTCATGTCAAATAATGTCGAATGTCAACTGTAGGATGGATGGGCGTTGTTTGTTTTTGTTGCTTATGAAAAATTGGAATTGGAATATATACTATACGTTAATATGAATATAGTTTTGTTTTAAATTTTATTATTTGAATCAAGTTTAAAGGCAAGTTTTTATCTGTTTATCAAGGTAGGTAAAAATAAATTGTTCGATCATAAACCAGTTACTGACACCAGGATTCTGCGCAATAAATAATTTAGAGGTCCCAATAATCTACTGCACAGAATCCTAGAGTTGGTGAAGGGTTTCTGATCGTTATTGGAATAGATCGTATGTAAAATCCCTTTTCTTTAGGGAAATTACCGCCAATATTTACAATACTTACCCTTATAGCGGAAAACTTAGGATTTCGATACATAGATGCTGCCACAAAAACCAACAGTATTTCAAATTGTACTAAATTGTCTCTGATTTGACTTAAAATGTACTTTTGTACTTTGCCGCGAGAAATGTACTGAATTTAGTACAATTGGACTGAAACGGCAGCCCTGCTGGTTACCCTGTACCTCGTTGTGTCTCGGGACCCAAGTGAGAGTAACTCTATTTTCCTCGCCTAGCTCATTCAGTTTTTCTATTGACCATCTTTGAGGTGATTACGTAAGATCTCAGTGCTTTGATGGCTGCTTGTCTATCGGACATGATGATAATCTATTGTCTGCAATAGTTTCTCTTGATTTTGAACTGGATAATTCAAGAAAAAAGTTTAATAGATAATTCATAGGGAATACGCCGAACCCAATCATACGAATTTTTGTTGATTTTCGAAATACGGGTACCTTAGTGGTTTAATCTTCAGGTTTGTTATATCGACAGAGTCCGTCGCATTATAATACAGTAATTCAGTATCCGGATGAGCACAAAGCCCTGAAAGTAGTTGTTAAGACGGTCTTACATTTCCCGACTTAAACTTGGGATCCGAGGTAGGTAGATCAGATTAAATGAGCTTTGAAAGGAGTTGGAGATTATTTGTCCTTGTTCACCGCGACCTTTTTTTGATCTATTGTGCAACTTAGTTTAGAGTATGTCGTCTAGCTTGTTCTTTTTTATTAGACTTGTAGCGTGGACAGTGGCTTCCGCGTGTAGTTCCATGCGTGTTCCTTTTCTTCGCCTAATGTTAGAAACCGTAATCTAGCCAGGCCTTCACACTGGCACAGGACGTGGATTGATGTTTCCTCTTCTTCTTTACAAGACCTGCACAATGTTGCTTTTTCATCTGGATTGATGATACTCACGTGCTTTCTTAGGCGACAGTGTCCTGTAAGAAGACCTACTGTTATCCTAACGATTTGACGTTTATCATTCAGTAGGCTTTTCGTGAACTTGTCCGATGGTTCTTTGTTAATTTGTTTGGCCTGTCTCACTCTTGGATAGTTGTTCCACCATTACTAAAACTGTTTTTGGATCCATTGTTTGATGGTTGCCTTGCACAAAGCCTTAGCAACTCCACAAAAGAGTTCGAGGTCTGTCATGGACTTATCTGAGCCTTCTTGGGCTAGTTTGTCGGCCTTTTCGTTGACCTTATATCCTTTGTGGTCTGACACCTAGGCTAGTATAACCTTATTTTGACTACTTAGCTCTGCCAGGTCTTCTAGAGAGTCTTTCACCAGTCGTGATTTGATTTCTGGTGAGAGAATTGCCTTTAGAGCTGCTTGGCTATCAAAGTAGATGGCAATAACTGTGCCTGATACTTGCTGATTTATTGTTTTTTTGCACCGTGTTCAATGGCTATTAGTTCAGCCTAGAACACTGTTGTATATTCTCCCAGACCCAATGAAATCGTTGTGTTCGATTGGGGCCCAAAGATTCCAGCAATGGCTTCTTCCTTGGTTTTTGAACCCTCTGTATACCAGACGAGCAGTTGGCTCATTGGGTTTAGTCCCTAAATTAGTGGATAACGGACCTGGTTTCTCCTTGTATGAAGATATGCAGTGGCGTGAGGTTTAGTAGTATTTCCATTGCTGCAGTTGATGTAGTACGCATGTCCACCGGTGGTACTAAGACAGGCGAGCCGATGAATGTCGGTGAGTTGGCCTATCGCAGTTGCCTGTGCAGATTTGGTTACCCACGCCACTGCGCCATAAGTTATCATGGGTCTTATCACCCTTGTGTATAACCATATGGTTATTTTGGGGCTTAGGCCCCAGTTTTTCCCATATATTCTTCTACAGTTTACGAGAGCTTTGGTAGGTTTGTGTGCGAGTTTTCTGAGATGTTGATTTCAAGTCATCCTTTGGTCAAATAAGACTCCGAGGTATTTGGTTTCTGTGGCAAATGTTGTTTAGTACTAGTGCTGTAACTACCCGTTTTTTGTGCCTTAATGGTTAATTGCTCCTTTTTGCATCAGTTGTTCACTATATTTAGAGCTATTTGAGATCGTTCCGAGACTGTACCTGCAACTCGTTTAAATCGTCCAGCGCTAGGTCAGTTGACTTTCCTGGCTGGTATGAATATTGGTTGGGATGGAGCGGATTTATTTTTAGTATCCCGTCTGTGATGTACCTGTCTATCAATCCTCCTAGCGTTTTTAGTAAGAAAGACTATATACTTATAGGGCGATAGATAGGTAAAGATAATTCTTTATTTTATCTACGTTATTATCGTTGATTTTTGATTAAAATTTATGTTTCAGATTCAAAAACAGCAGACAGTGATTTTTAAATTTCCCTCAAAAAAGTTAACCTTTGATGAAAAGATAGAGGTGAGATTTATTTCCATAGGTGTTTCTATTGCATAAAATATTTACGTTTGTCGAGTATTGAGTTTGACTAATTTTTAAAACTTTCATATATATGTAGGTATTTATGTGTGTATCAATCTTCGAACACTTGCAAACCACAGCCCTATGTGCTTCGATTTGCAATTTGTGTTTTAGACCTGTCAAAAAAATTAGTAATTGATTTCTAAATAGGGTGTGATTATAATGAACACATTCTAGTTGCTAGATTTGCTGCCAATAAGTTTTTAATACAACCAAAAATCATATTATATGTTATAATGGTAGGGGAGTCAATGACACTTTTTTGGTACACATTTGCTCAAGACAAAATTACAAAGGACCAAAATGAAGTGCCAGATTGGACAAATTGACAGTTGACAGCTGTCAATTGACTGTCAACGAGGTATTAAAAGAAAATATCCTCTTTTCACATTGAAAGTTTGGGTTTTTGAGGTCGCTGAATTCAATTCTCATGTCAGATTGGACAAATTGACCGCTGACAGCTGTCAATTCACGGTCAACGCGGAATTTGTCAACTGTCAATTTGTCCAATCTGACATGAGAATTGAATTTAGCGACCTCAAAAACCCAAACTCTCAATCTGAAAAGAGGATATTCACTTTTATATTCCTCGTTGACCGTGAATTGACAGCTGTCAACGGTCAATTTGTCCAATCTGACATGAGGGTTGAATCCAGTGACCTCAAAAATATTACCCTATATATTAGAAAAATTAAAATGTGCTTTTGACATCTGTAAATAGTATTGAAAATGAATAGTTTTTCAACGGGTCAGGGAAGCTTTGGCAGCTCCGTAGCTGCCAAAATATTCATTTTGGCACTTTGTGTCCATGGAGACTTTTGTTCAGGATGACAAAATCTACAACATATCAAAAATTCAGACAATTTTACAGAAACACAATTTACATAAGATTATTGCGGGGTCCTTTATTGTTCATATTCTTGCCTTGCTGTAGACGAATCAGCGTGGAGCGTTCACTGACGATGAGCGATATCTTAAAAAAAGCCGATTCAGAAAATAAAAGTGCAAGCTTTAAACTTACACATACTATTAATTACATAAAAATTCATAAAAAAATGTCAAGGTGTAAGGTGACACTCGCAAATATTCAGTCGTTACATAAAATTAGACATTTCGTCACTGGTTACATATATAGTTATTACTGTCTAGTTTTTTAATTTCATGTTTTACAGTTGGAAAGTTTTATGAAGATTTTAGGATGGAAAGAACCAATGAAAACTGTTAATGATTCTTATAAGTTAGGAATATCGTCAATGGCTGGAGTGAGTAAATAACATATTTTTACATACTAATTATCTTTTATATCACTGGAGAAAAAATTAGGTACATATTTTATATTAGGTCTGTTCGGTTTCTTTATCGGTTTCTTCAAAAATACATTAATAAATATCAGAGGACTAGTTGAACAGTAGACAGTTTAATATTTGTACGCGACGAATAATTTGGAATTCAACTGTTCCACTGGTTCTCGGACGATTTGCGACAAGTTTTAAAGAAACCCGAACAAATCTATTATGGATAACTATGTATTTTTTTACAATGCTAAAAAACTGTTTTATGTCAAATCTATTGTTATACAGGGTGTTTCAAAAAGATTGGTCATAAATTATACCACATATTCTTGGGTCAAAAATAGATCGATTAAACCGCACTTACCTATATACAAAAGTGCACCTAAAAATGGATATAAGATAATAAGATAAAAATTTGAATGAATTTTTTTAACGTTGCTCTTAAACCGTTTGGCATTTTTTCATGAAATTTTATACGACGTGTTAGAATACCATGACTAATAATACCGAGGAAGAGGCAATATTTTTTTTATTTTTATAGGTTTTTGGAGGGGGTCACCGCTCTTTTCTCCACTCAACTTTTTTGTAGTATAAAATTTAATTAGAAATGAAACGCCACTGGGATGCAACATCCATTTGGAAACTTTTTGTCTGTTAGTATTTGTTTGTAAAAAGTTTAGTTTAGACGATACAGCCATTTGAAATGACAACTTAAAAATATTCAATGGAAATTTTACGTATGAAAAATATCAAAATCCAGTTTATTTTTAAATTACAAACTAATGTCATCAAAATAAAAAAAATTAATTTAACAGGTGTTCAAAATTACATTCTCCTCCTGTATATACTTACTACATAGTTTTAACAATAAAAATCGAATTTTGATATTTTTGTATACGTATAATTTACATTGAATATTTTCAAGATGTCATTTTAGGATGGCTGTATCGTCTAAACCAAACATTTTACAAACAAATACTAAGAGACAAAAAAGTTTCCAAATAGATGTTGCATTTTAGTAGCGTTCGATTTTTAATAAAATTTTATATTACAAAAAAGTTGAGTAAAAATCCTACAAAAATAAAAAAATATATTGCCTCTACCTCGATTTTGTTAGTCATGGTATTCCAACACGTCATATAAAATTTCATGAAAAAATGTCAAAAGGTTTAAGAGCAACGTTAAAAAAATTCATTTAAATTTAACTATTTTTGGGTGTACTTTTGTATATAGGTAAGTACGGTTGAATCGACCTATTTTTGACCCAAGAATACGTGGTATAATTTATGACCAATCTTTTTATAACACCCTGTATAGGTATAACGTACCACAAAATATGGAACTTATGCTTGCAAAAAAATTTGCTCTATATAAGTACCTATTATCAAAAGAGAGTGTAACCATTCAAAAAAGTTGTTGATGGCGTCATAGCTCGAAGAGTAGATATATGCACCTAAAAAGTATAGTTACCTATTTAATTTTTTACTTGATTAATGTACTAGTAGATTTTATCAAATTCCAACACCTAAGTGCGCACTGTATATCTCTGGATTCATTGGCTTTCAAAAAATTATAAATCAATGTTTCTGTTTTGTGTATTTTAAATGAACATGTATTTTTTAAATGTTTTTTTAGTCTAATAATATTTTAGAAACGTTTCTACAACTTTTTATAATATTACTATGTAATATTTCTGAAAGATATAAAATTTTAATTTCAGAAATATTACAGTGAAATATTATATTTACACAGCATTTTTACGTTTTAAGCACATTTCAGAAATGTTTCTGGGATGTTTCGTAATATTTATATTTCAATGTAACATTTTTGTAATCTTTCCGAAATGTTTTTGTGCTGCATGGGTATTATAGTAGTTACTAAGGAGTGAACTACATGAAATGTCTCTAAAGTAGGATCGTTCGATTCTTCTTTTTTTTAAGTTTCGACTTAATTTTTTAGAGCCATGCGTAGTTATTACGGACATGAGTCGTATCTCTGTCTTTGTCTGTCATGACTTATTTTAGAAACATTTTTGTTGATCACACTTTAATAATAAAACATTTTTTTTAGCTTGGTCTGGATATTCTTGTCAACTCCATGGTAGTAACTCAACTCTACATATTTTTAGATCTTCAATTAAAAACCACTTAATTATTTATAACGTTTATTTAAAATATTAACAATGAAATATGTGTAGCATAAATAATGTCCTTCAGTACCTGTAATAAAGATAATTGAAGAAAAAATTATATTTGTTTCAAGAAAAAACATAATCCTTTAATTTGTAGATATAGTATGCCAACAAGACAAAGAACGCAATCTTGATGAATCTATCCAAACAGAACATTCTGAAAAAAAAAAAGAATGAAATAGTAATAAAAGTATATGAATCTTACTTGATTCACATTTTACTTACATTTTCATATTCCTTCTTGCTGCAGGAAGCATGTCATCAGTTTCTTTTAAATAATTTCTTCGGCACGCCATCATACAATCAAACAAGTACTCTCTTACATTAATTTTATCAGGTTTTAAAACGTACGTTTTCCTTTCTGCCTCTGTCAGTTTATCTCTTATTAGTTCTACATTGGTCGTCTCAAAGTCCCAAGGCTTAGTTGTATAAAATTCAAACATTTCAGCACCTTTTCGAATTCTCATTTGAATGTTATATAATCTAAAACATAATTTTAAAAAGTTACTTAAAATAAAATCAACTCTTGAGATTTTAAAAATATAAATTAAGGGGGTTTTGGGGATGCCGATTCTAAATCTGATAAAAAGGTTATCTAAAATAATCTCTAATATTGTTTTCTCAAAAAAATCAAGTAATGTTTACCACCCAACAGAGCCTGTGGAGTACGGAAGGGCCCCAGTACTGCCATCATGACGGGCCTCGTTAAATAGAGAGCTCACCACAGTTTTTGGGTGCTACGTTTAAATTTTGACCCAAAAGTCGTTAAAAAAAACATCCCAGACAATATTTTTCATAAAAGAAAAAACATAAGCATATTTTTGACAAATTTTTTTTGTGTATTGCATATTCGCTCCGTGCGTGACAGCAGCGCCAATTCATTTATGTACTAATGGACTATTTTTACGTATTCGCTCCGTGCGTGACGGCAGCGCCAACTAAAATATGTACTAAAGAAGGATTTTTCGTGTATTGATAGTATCATTTTTAATAAAATTCCTAATTAAAAAATGTATTTTTTGCTTTTAATAAAAGTATATTGATTTATAAAACAAGTGAAAAGATTCATTTGATATTATTATATATTTTTATTACTTCAACTAAAGAAAAATTATTAAAACATGTGCACAGAACAAGTAATTAGGCAACAGTATTTACGAGAAAGTGTATAAAAAGTTGCCTAATAATGTTGAAGGTTAATGTCAAACGTGTATTCAAAATTTATTATTTCCAAAAAATAGATGTAATATTGTAATAATTTCGAATGTAATTGTTGCGAATAACATTACAGCCTTGTATGATGCGATTTTGAAGATCTAAATTTAAGATCGGGTTTCTGTAACTTTCACTTACAGTCAGAGCTCGTATACAGGCACGTATTCAAGGGGGGGGTCCAGGGGGTCCGGACCCCCCCCGAAACAATTAATAATCATATAATGCCTTTAAAAATCTCGCTATCCACGAAATTGGTTTTCAGTCCCATAGGCCTAAAATTATTTCCTTCCACTAAATTTAGCTGGAAATCCGCTAGGTTGGCATTTGGCAACACCTCTATTTCCGTAGCTTCGCTAACGGGCGGGGCGGCACTGACGTTTACAGTCACACTGGTATTTGAATAGCTAGTCGAGCATTGTACTTCAACCTTTAAGAACCTAGTGCTTCCTAGTGTAGTCCATATTTCATTTGATTTTAACTATAAGTCACCAAGACCGTTAAATATTAAGTTTGAATGTTGTGTAGTTGATCGTGGGTGAAATTAAAAACTAATTGACTAACGCAGTAACGAACGATCCATTATCAAGATGAAAAGGTTGAGTTCCGACTCAAATTCGCAGAGTAAAATAACAAAATTTTTTGGAATGAAAAATTTAAAAGGGGAAAAGGCAGGTAAGGTCTGATTTTTTCAACAAATAATAATATTTTTCTACACCCACATGGATATTAGCTTATCTACGCACATATTATTACTAAACGAAAAAGTATGCTATTGCCTTCAACTGAACGAATGTATTTCATAACCATTTTAGGTAACGAGAACACTACAAAAAAATGAAATCCACCAATCACAGTTCATATTTTGCTCAATTGACTGCTATTATTTTGAAAATTTTAAATAAGTGACAATTCTGTCAAACTAATTGTCAGTATATTTTTAGTTATTGAGATTAAACATACATTACAATGAGTTATTCTTGTCTAGAATCGATAAATAATATAATTTCTATTTTTATTTTGTTTATAATTATAAATAATTTGTTAATTTAAATAAAACTGTATGAAATAAATTTAATTACGACTATTGAAGCAAAAAAATAAACGCGTAGATGGTCCTGATGTTAGGGTTCTTGCCTTCCACACGGAAGACTCGAGTTCGAAACTCGGATGGAGAAAAATAAAATGACATTTTTTTCTGTTTTTTTTTTCTTGTTCATTTTATTTTATAAATTAGTAAAAGTCATAAATAATTTTTAAAGTAATTATTTTATTTTAATAACCTAAAATAATTTTTAATATTTGTAGACTTTCGTTAGTGGGTCGTAGAAAAAATATAGTGTACAACTCGAGTGGATTGTCCATATCGCACTTGGACGATTGAGCACTCCACCTATGGCGTCGTGCTCAAATTTCGTCTTTGTGCGATATGCCCATCATATCAATTCTTTTTACACAAACTATTTTATTTATTTTATGTAACCTTTCGAGGCTATGCATAACTAGACATTTTCTCGCTTCAGCATCCATTCCCAGTATTGATAAAGAAGAAGAGGTCGGAACTGCTTTGGAAAAAATCGAAGGAAAAACTCAATATCTTGGTAAGTACTAAAATCAAGATCTTATGGTTTACGCATCACGCGGCTCTCCTCTCGGTATGAATGGATGGCCTAGCGAGCTTCAGACCTTATACCTCACCTCAGTACTTTATTAATAATGTTTCAATGTTTATTTTGATCTTTTATTTTAGATTATTATTACTCCATGGCTTCAACTTCTCAAATGGGAGGCGTTCCTCCGGTTTCGCTCGATTATTTTGACTTGGGAAAAGTAGACGTGTCAACCCTAGATAACAACGAAAAAAGAAAAATTCTGTCAACCGCTATGGTTCTTAAATCACATAAATATCCCATTTCCATTATCAATTCTTCTGGGCATCAAAAATCTTTGAAATTTCAAGCCACCTGGATTGATAGGTGGCCTTGGCTTGCATATTCAAAAATCAGTGATGGGGTTTTCTGCAAGATATGTCTGCTTTTTAGTCGCGAATGGGCAGGCAAAGGCTCTCATCAAACTCTAGGAATATTTGTTAATGTTCCTTTCAAAAAGTGGAAGAAAGCAACTGAAAAATTTGAAAACCACGCAAAAACCAATTACCATAAGGAGTGTGTGATATTAGCAGACAATTATATGAAAGTAACATCAGGACAAGTTTTCGATGTGGTCTCTCAATTAAATTCAAAACTCCAACAGGAACGCGAGGAAAATCGTTCAATATTAAAGCCCATCATAAAAGCTGTACTTTTTTGTGGTCAACAAGAACTCCCCCTGCGTGGCGATGAAGATAGTGGACCACTTAATCTAGAAAATCCTGAAAAGAAAGATGGTAAATTTCGCGCTCTTTTGAGATTTACGGCAAATGGAGGAAACGATTCATATTCATTGAAGAAACATTTTACTTCAAGTAATAAGAACGCTACGTATGTAAGCCCAATAATCCAAAATGAGATTCTAGATATAGCTGCGTCTTTAATTCGGAAAAAACTGATTGAAAAAATTAACAAATTTGGATATTTTGCTATATTAGTCGACGAAACTATGGATGTGTCTGGTGTTGAGCAAATGTCGTTTTGTGTAAGATATTTGTCTGAAGAAAACGCAAAACCTATTATCCGTGTGAAGATTTTCTGTCTTTTGTGCCAGTGTCCGATCAATCTGCTGAAAGTCTATGCAATTTGGTTCTTGAAGAATGTAGGAAAATGAACCTTGACATGAACAAATGTGTGGGCCAAGGATACGATGGTGCAGCAAATATGGCCGGGCACGTTAGTGGACTTCAAACTAGAATTCGACAGTTATATCCGAAAGCTATTTACGTACACTGTGCAAGTCATCGATTAAATCTTGCTTTGTCAAAAGCTTTATCGCTACCAGCAGCTAGGAACTGTCTTGGTGTCGTGAACGAAGTGTCTAACTTTTTCAGAAACAACTCTCGTGCCAATCACATCCTGAAACAGCAAATAACAGAACTTTTGCCTGAATCCAAGAAAACAAGATTAATTCGTTTGTGTGAAACTCGTTTTATAGAAAGACATGACAGCATTTTGGTATTCGTGGAACTGCTAAAGCCCATTGTGTCTGCGTTACAAATAATTTCTAACGAAACAAGAGATACTTCCTCTAAAGCCATTATGTTTTTGGCTACGATCGAAAAGAGCGAATTTATTGTGTCGCTGTTAGTATGTGAAAAATTTCTTAGTTTCACGTTACCTCTATCCAAGTACCTGCAGAGTCCTTCCCATGATTTGGTCTCGGCTCTTGACCAGGCTAATGATGTGATAGCTTCCTTACAAAAAACAAGAGATAATGGAGAATCAATTTTCAAACAACTTTTTAATACCGCATCGAAGCTTTTAGAAGAACTGTTCGGGAGTGAACTAAAAATTCCTCGTTTGACTGGCAGACAGAGCCATCGTGCCAATCCTATAACTAATTCTACTGAAGAATACTTTAAAGTTGCTATTTTTTTACCATGCGCCGACCAGCTGATAGTTAATTTACAAGACCGCTTCGGGACTCCAACAACAGTATTATCAGCATTTCAAGCCCTACTACCAGGGTTTGCATCGCCTGATAAAGCCACTCAGCTTCAAACCTTATCTATATTTTTTATTGAAAAATGTTCAGTGTCTGCTCTCCAAGGAGAATACTATATATGGTGTAATCAAATTTCTAAAGAACCAAACCTTGAAACACTCGGCGTCCTTGAAATATGCAACAAAAACTTCTTCCCAATAATTCATCATTTACTGACCATTTTATCAACCCTACCAGTGACCACTGCTACGGTTGAGAGGTCGTTTTCGACCATGAAGAGAGTGAAGACTTTCCTTCGAAATAAAATGCAACACGAGAGGTTAAACTCCTTAGCTGTACTTTCGATTCATTGGGACGTAGATGTTAGTGTCGACTCAATTATAAATGTTATGGCAAATAAAAAAAATCGTAGATTAGTTTTATAAAAGTGTGCACTTTTCAATGTTCATTAATAAAACGCTATTTTCCTTGACTTTGTTTTTTTACACGCCCCCACGCTCGTACGCGCACGCACACGCACGCGCACACACACACACACATACACACACACACACACACACACACACACACACACACACACACACACACACACACACACACACATATATATATATATATATATATATATATATATATATATATATATATATATATATATATACACACCCAGGATT